TTCCTAAGTTCACACTGTTTAATATAAAAAAAATCTCAGTGAACAAATCAAAAACTCACTCAATATTTAAATAATTCTTTATGTTTTCACAGCTATATATTGCATTTGAATAAGCTTATTTTATTTGAATAACTTTGCTAATTAACAAAATATTATAAACATCCTATAAATATTATAAACATCCATGTTTATTACTTATTTGAAGTGCTTTATTTCCTGAGTTGAGTGCAAAAAACAGAACTCACTTATCTTTAATCGTTTAAAGGATACGAGCAATGAAACAATTTTGATCAATTGTTGTATCTCATAAATAAATATTTATTTTTCTCAAAAAGTTGATTTTCTAAAACTTGATATTTAAATAAATGTAATATGTAATCTGCAGTCGCATATATAATAACAAAAATTTTGTTTTAGAAATTAAACATTTTTTTAGCAGTCAAGAAAAAGTTTGGGGATTCAATTCTTTTATAAAATGGCAGGATGTTGTTAATCCCAGTAAAGGTTATATTCAGAATGATTCTATTACAGTGGAGGTATATATCTATTTTTTAAATCTAAATTTAATGGAATTAAATTCATTCAATAGGATTGCCACAGGTCTGGGAATTCAGGAAAAAGTCAGGGAAACTGAAATTGGCCAGGAAAATTAGGAAAAAGTCGGGGAATTCCTCATTCTGGTTTTTGATATCCTTCGAAGATATTATAAAAATACATTAAACTTTTCTTGAAATTTTTTTGTTCCCCTTATAAACTTTGAAGTCACCACGAATTTTAATAGAAGACCTTACATTTTTTTCTAATTCTAATATTGATCTTTACAGAATATGAATTTGAATTTGTTTTAAATAATTTAATTCTTGAGATACTTTCATATTCTTATTGATTATAAATAACAAATATTCAAAAATTTTTTTAATTTACTTATTAACTAATTAATTTTGAATTTTTATTATATAATTTCTAAAATTTATATAAAATGCTTCACAAAAATTCAATTATACCTATAATGAAATATAAAATTCTTCACAGAAATTTAATTGTTTTCACTAGGGGAGGGTGGTCCCATACCGACCCCCTAAAGTGCAAAGGCTAAAAATGTGCCAAAAATGTGTTTCTTTGTCTTCGTCAAAATTTTTTTGAGTAAATAAGGAACTATTTTTCAATGTTTTCTGACAGTTGCCGAGGTTTCTGATTGTCATTAATAAAAGATCTAAAGAAAAAGCGAAAATTTGCGTTTTTAACTTTTTCAAAATGGGTGGTCCGAAACCGACCCCCCATTTTTTGGGGGAAAATCTCAAGAATAATCAAGATATCAAATTCTGATAGTAATTAAAATAAAATTCAACAGTCTGTAATGAACTGTTAAATTATTTTGACTTCATTTAAATACATTTTTGGACCTTTTTCTGAACAAAAAAAATGAATCATTAGTAACTTTACTCTGAGATTATTTATGTCTTTAAGTTATGTTGACATAGTTAAACTTGAATTAATATTATTACTTTATTTAAATAAATTTTACGGCCTTTTTTAAAATGATAATAAATATAAATTGTTAAACAGTGTCTAAATTTCCAATATAATAGCAGCAATGGTTTTGCCTGTTTTAATTTTCACCCTATTTTTAGTAAAATATATATGAATTTTGTTATTAATTCTTTTTCGTTATCGTACTTAACTGCTTCCAAAGATGTCGAAAACATTTAACCAAAAGAGAATTAAAGTTAAGTAATAAGTGCTGTGATTTTTAGTAAAATATTTTATAAATTCCTAAAAAATAAAAGTAAATATGCAAAACCTATCCTCACTTCATGTGAACAATAAGGAAGAAGAGAATAAACAATTACAATGTAAAAATATGGGGGTCGGTTTCGGACCACCCCCACTATTTTCACAAAATGTTTTGCCAATCACTTATATCAATGGAATCAATTTAATTTGAATGTTGTGCGTTGAAGTTAAGGTCATACACAATCAAAATTAATTTCGTAAAAATGTTCCTGTATTCAAAAAACACTGTTAGCTCGAATTCTGTATAGGTCAAAAATTAATTTAAACAATGCTAAAATCTAATATTGCTTGAATCTTCAAAATGAAATCAAACGCATTGATAAAACCTGTGGCCCAGTTGTTGATGGTGTTGTGAAAGTGTTTTTTTTTTTTTATGGTACTGACGAATTTTTTAGTGGTACCATCTTCAAGAAACATAAGGGGGTCGGTATGGTACGAGGGGTCGGTATGGGACCACCCTCCCCTACAATTTGAATAAAATTTCTGTAAAGAATTAAATTTTTACAAATTTTAATAAAATTCTTTACAAGATTTCAATTATTTTCACTATAATTGTAAATAAAATTTCTAGAAAGAATGAATTATTTTTAACATTTTGATAAAATTGTTTGAACAAATTCATTGTTTTTCAAAATTTAACTAAAATTCTTTCCAAAAATTTAATTATTTTTAATATAATTTAAACTAAATTCCTCGACAGAATTTAATTAATTTCCAAAATTTTAATAAAATTCTTCGAAACAGTTCAATTATTTTTAAAAATGTATCTATAGTTTTCTTAGCAAGAATTAAATTTATTATATTGTGAATATGAATTTATCCCTTGGAAGATGCTGATTGATAAATTTTTTTCCACTCAATTAAATTTATTATTTCAGATTGAAAATTATAAAACTTAAAAAATTAGAACATTTTTTAACAAAAATTTACTTTTAAGAAGAAATTTCCTTATACAAAATTATGGAAACTAAAATAATTTCTAAATTTTTCTTACAAAAATAGCATATTATCAGATAACTATTTTTATGTTTAAGAATCTTAGATTAAATTTGCAAATTAAAATTGTAATTTTTAAAACTCAAAATAATTTCGTTTAATTAATCTTTTCGTTATTTAATCTACATGTTACTGCCGAACTCTGTAACTTTTTATATTATAAAAAATATTTAATAAATTATTTATTTAGGGAATAACGTTACTTAAAAATTAAAAAAAGTAATTGAATTTTGACGTTGATGAAATTCACAACATTTATTACCAACAAATTAGATTTTAATTTTAATTTTTTAATTTTAAATAAGTACCTATTGTTGATCATAAACGTTATGAATTTCACTAACGTGATTTTTGGAAGTGTTGCGCATATAGGGTCATTCTCCGTGAAATTTTAACTCAAAATTTTTTTTTGATTAAAACAATTTTGTTCGAATTCTATATAAAAAATAAGTAAATACCTGTTTTTCTTAATTTTTTTATTTGATCAAAATTAAGGAAGTTATAATTTTTTTTAAATTTAACGTCTTTAGAAGCAGAAGACTTTTGAAACACTTTTTTCTCTGTTATAAAAAAAGATAAATAATAATATAATGTATGCAAAAAATTTGTTTTTTCTTGAATATTTCAAATATGTAATAAAAAATAAGGATAATAAAGCGAAAATATTAAATAAATTAAAATTCCGTCTAAAAAGTGACTTTTCTCAAAACCGAAGTAATCGATTTTCGATTTTTTTCTTTCATTACAATCACTGACAAATAAAGAAATTTTTCCCATCTATGCCAAAGTGGTATTCTTTAGGGATAAAATTATATTTAAAATTATGTCAGTCGTTGCACAGAGTTTTATTCGACTTTTACAGGTATTTACTTATTTTTATATGGAATTCGAAAAAAATTGTTTTTATCAAAAAAAAAAATTTGAGTGACACGGAGAATGCCCCATATACAATTTTATAAATAATTAAATTTTCGAATGTTTTACACTGAAACAAAAATTTATTTAATTCAAATAAACAATTACTTGTCTATTATTTATCAAATAAATATACGTATTTGTTTAAAATAATTTTTATTTATTAGATGATAATTTTTGTCCATTAAATGGTAATTGTTTCAAATACTGAAATTAATGATTCAAATAAAATTTATTTGATTTAAATAAAAATTATTTTATTCAAGCAAATATTTATTTGATAATTAATCGGTTATTTGAATCGAATACATTTTTTTTCTTCAGTGTAAATCTGAAATTTTTTAAAATCATACACAATTCTTGTCGAAAATTAGTAGTATTCAATTGCAGAAATATTTAGAAATATTTATTAAAAGCATTTTCTTGATGTATATCTAATAATTTTTAGAGTGAATCAAAATATTCTTAAAGGGTCAGAAAAAAATTAAAATTCAGGGAAATCAGAGAAATGTGAGTGAAAAATAAAATGGAATTTGTGTGGCAACCCTGTTCAAGAGAACTGACATTTTTTTTAATACTAAGTTAAAATTAAAAATTAAAATTAAAATGTGTTTCATTTAAGGTTCACCTAATAGGGAAAGATACAGCAGATCATGAGTGGTTCATGTTACAGTAAGAACATGAAGGAAAAAATATTTTTATTGGAATTCCAAATTTGCGTTGTGAAACAAAATAGTTTTGTAACAAAAACAGTCGGAAAAGTATGCAATTTACTTTCTTTATTAATTAAGAAGAAGAGAAGTTTATTAATTTAAATCGAAAATTTAAATTTATTCTTTATATTATTCAAATTTAAAAAATACTTATAAACATGGTGCTATTATTATTGTTAGTTACTTTAAAAAAAAGTGTTTAGTTTCATATTTCTTGTGAATATCATATATATTAGTATTTGATGTAGTTGATGAAATAATCATTTTTAACCATACAACGTTTTTGTGGTAAAAATAATGTTCCTGTTTTTTTTCTTTGCAAATTTTTGTATTTTTTCGTTTTTTCTTTTTGTTATACAGTATAATTTTTCAGTACATTGTACTGAATTATTATATTTATATTATTGTTCAAATAATATTGTGTTATTGAATTAAAGATGTTGTAATATTAATTCGAGGACGAAATTTACTTCTTCTTTTTCTTCTTCATATTTAAATTTAATATTTATGGCTTGTAATTTAATTGTTCATTGAAATCAATTCCCAACCCTGTTTATGCTCCAATCGTCCAACCTTGCCACTCTTGTCACACAACCTTGCTTGTGTGTACAATTATGTACAATTGTACATGATAATATATGATAATATTATTTTAAAGTTTTATTTAAATATAATTTAAAAATTCTATTCCTAAAAAATATTACCCAAAAATGCCACGAACTTGCTGTATTTGTGGTTGCACAACCAGTACAGAAAATCGTCGTCAACTTTTTAAATTTCCGACCGATGAGGTATGTCGTCTAAAATTCATTAAAGGTTAGAATTCAAAATTGCAATTTTATTTTGTATATAGTATATATTATATTTTTTAATTATAATTTTGAGTTGTTTTCTCAATATTGTAAAATTTTCTAAATTTAATCTACTTTGTTTTGGTTATATCGTCTTTTAATTTGATATCACAGGAAAATAGAAATAAATGGTGGAGTGCAATTGGAAATAACATCAAAAGAGGAAGATCTCATCGGAGTAATTTATTTGTGTGTAATCAACATTTTGCCGAAAGTTGCTTTCAACGTGAATTAATTGAAGTTTTAAGAGATGGATGTGAAGTCAGTTTACCAAGGAAGTGTGTCACTTTGAAAAAGGACAGTGTTCCATCAATTTTCGAGGTGAGTGTTAAAATCTACAGTTTACTCTTTTTTTTTCCAGTTTACTAACTGGGAAATAGCCGAAAATTCAAATAAAACCGAGAAATAATCAGAAAATAAATTATAATTATGAATCTCTATTGAACTTTTACAAATTTTTAAACATATTTTTAAAGGGGCGGATTTGATTCTGCACATTTTAACTGCATACATATATTGAATACGGTTTGACTTTATACAAATATTTATTTCATAATTTTCTAATTAAACTCTATACAGTTAAACTGTATACAGTTGAAATACTTGCGTTTGAATAAAATTTTATATGTTTGACCGTAAACAGTTCGACTTTATACTACTTAACTTTATATAATGTTTAATATTAAATTGCATACAGTTAAATTCTATACAGTAAATCAGAATGCCCTTGAAATATTATTCACTTCGAAAATTGCATACAATTAAACTGCATACTAACAAAATTAAAAAATATAAAAGTTTAATTTCATACAGTTGAATTGTATACAGCGTAACTGAATACCTGATATTTAATTTTTAATTGTACACAGTAAAGTTTTTATACTATTAAAATATTATAAAATATTGATATCAAGTTCTACACGATTTAAATTGTATACAGTAAAACCGTATACAAGACAAATTAAAAATCTAAAACTGTCGAATTCTATACGTTTTAAATGTGCACAATAATAGTTTTTCAAATATTAATATCAAACCATATGTGCACAATTAAAACGTATAGAATTCGACAGTTTTAGATTTTTAATTTGTCTTGTATACGGTTTTACTGTATACAATTTAAATCGTGTAGAACTTGATATCAATATTTTATAATATTTTAATAGTATAAAAACTTTACTGTGTACAATTAAAAATTAAATATCAGGTATTCAGTTACGCTGTATACAATTCAACTGTATGAAATTAAACTTTTATATTTTTTAATTTTGTTAGTATGCAGTTTAATTGTATGCAATTTTCGAAGTGAATAATATTTCAAGGGCATTCTGATTTACTGTATAGAATTTAACTGTATGCAATTTAATATTAAACATTATATAAAGTTAAGTAGTATAAAGTCGAACTGTTTACGGTCAAACATATAAAATTTTATTCAAACGCAAGTATTTCAACTGTATACAGTTTAACTGTATAGAGTTTAATTAGAAAATTATGAAATAAATATTTGTATAAAGTCAAACCGTATTCAATATATGTATGCAGTTAATTCTGTATGCAGTTAAAATGTGCAGAATCAAATCCGCCCCATTTTTAAAGAATTCAATCATATTCAAAAGTTTTAATAAAATTCTTCGAAACAATTCAATTATTTTCATAAATAATTACTTTACATAAATTCAATTATTTTCAATACAATTTTTATAGAATTATTCGAAAGAATTCGATTATTTTAACAAAATTATAATAAAATTTTGAAAAGAATTCAATTATTTCCAAAAACTGTTAATAAAAGTCAATTATCAATTTTTAATTACAATTATTAATAATGACAATTTTAAAAACTTGAAAGAAATTCTTTTTAAAAATTTAATTAATATCGAAATTCTCAATTAAAAATATTTTTAAAAATTTCAATTTCAATTTCAATTAATATAATCAATTTATTCTTGAAAGAATTTTGGAGTATCAAAATCTGTAACCAATGGAGAAAGTGCGCTTAATAATTTGGATTCACTTGCAACTTGTACCATTAAGCAGGAACCAAGCGATGAATTACCTAATATTGAAACTCATATTAAAATTGAAAATTTGAAACCTATTGAAAATGATGAGACAAATTTACCAAGTAACATGGATTCTCAATCAGCGCGAACTACTTATAAACGGGCATTATCGCCCACGTCCCAGACAAGAGTAAATATCGCCAAACACGTTATGGGTCTTCAAGTTTCAACACCAATTAGACAACCAGTTAATCAACCGATAATTCAACCTCTAAATGCAGCAAAGATAATTTGCTTAGATTCGCATTTCAGACCTTACACGAAAGAAGATTTATTAAACGATTGGAATTCAAGAGATCTCAAAACTTTTCCCAAATATTGGGGATTGACTGAAATAGATGATGGCGTATTTTTTGGATACGTTGGAGACGTTCCCTACAAAGTCACGAGAGGAATATTAGTAAAAAGGGATATGTCGGTCGAAGTAAGTTGAATTTTTTTCGAAAAAAGAGAATTCAAATTAAAAAAGAATCTCTTATTATTCTTAAACAAAATTCCACAAACTTAAAATTGGATAATTTTAATTTTCTTTTCTTTTAATTGTTGCAGAATTTAATTTTAAATAAAATTACAATATTGGTCTTTGAATTACATTTAATTTAACTATTTTTAATTCTATTTTTTTAGAACAATAATATTACATTTTTAGGTAAGAGCTAAAAATCGTGTTGCTAAACTCCCAGTTATAGAAAACGTTACAAGTATAGAAATTTTACGCTCAGCGATGATACAAGTTGTGTGCTTGAAATTATGCGATATGGCTGGTCGGGAAGAATGTGAAAATCGTTTTTTTCTACCTGTGCCAAAATCGAAAAGTAATAAATGCAAAGACTGTCAAGTACAAAATAGACGAGAAAAGCACAATGTCAATCGTAAGGAACATCGTTTTAAAATTAAAGAAAGTCAAGCAATCACAACTAATGCTGATCTAAAGAAAAAATTAAATCAAGCTACAAAGAAGGTGAGTATGAGAAATTTTCATCATTTCATTCATTATGCCAATATTTCGAAAAATATTCACAAATAAATACACATAGGTATTAGAAGTTTTTTTTAATATCTCTAATAATAATTTAATAAAACTCTAAGCAAAAATTAGATGATTTCAAATTCTAAATAATAAAAGTTAAAAAATTAGGATATTTTTTAACAAAAATATTATTTCTTAAAATTAAAAAGAAAATCTTTTTGTATCCCAACATTATGAAAAATAAAATAATCTTTAATTTTTTCTTGCAAAAATTTCAACTAATTAGAACAAAAGTGATTTGAAATTTCGATAAATTAATGTTTTAATGTTTAACTTTTTATTATAGATCGAGGCTATGCGAAAGTACATCGATAATTTGATGACCAATTCTTTAATAAATGAAGAACTAATAGAAGAATCGATGAAAGATTTGCCACAAGAAATGCAAAATGACATTAGAACTAATTATATAGGGAAGAAACTTGAAGTCAATACGCAAGTGTTGTAGGAAATTTTTTTTGTAAAATATAAAAACTGCTTTGGATCTCAAAAATTAGAGTGACCTTTTACTATTAATTTTATAAACTAGAATTAACTACCTAAGCAATTTAATTTATATTTAGAATCGTAATAATATAAAGTGAAACTTTTTTACGAAATGTAATATTTTAAAAAGTTAGTCATTAAAATAGTGTTTAACATTTTTATATGAATAATTATAGTATTGTTACAACTGTTGATAATTAAAATTTTTTAAAACTTTTAATAAAATAGGTAATAATTTAACATTTTTTAATAACTAAATAGATTATAATTATATACCTAAAAGAAATTTTATTTTTAATTAAATGAGTAAATATTTATTAATAGATTTTAGAACCAAGCCAAAAAAATTGATTTAAATTCAAGTAAAGCAATTTTATTTGTAGAAAAGAAATTAAATATTATTCATTTCTAAATATCTACGAGAATGCACTTTATAACACTTTTTTGAATTCTTATGTTAATTGTTATTTTAAGTATATTTTAAAAGTTAAGTAAATTATTATTTATGCCTTATTTGAAAGTTTATACTTAAATCGTTTTGTTCTCTAAAATATTTTCTAGTTAGTACGACTATTAATTAGTTACTTTAGGATTACTTAAAGCAAACACAATTTAAACTTTAAATAAAACCATTATTTTGTAGTCATGCAATTTAAAAACAAAATAAAAATCTATATTTTTCTATATAAATGTTTTACAAATAAAATAAGTGTAAACATTAGTTATCTTCCTTTTCACTTTATTATATACAATATATTTTCTTTTGTAGTTTTTTACTGAAGAAATAAATTATTTAATAAAAAAATAGAATTTTTTCAAAAATCATCCTTTATGCAAATTAAATTTTGTAAAAATTCATTGTACTCTTGTATCGTTATATTTTACTAGGCGTTACAGAACTTATGTAAGTAGACAAAATTTTATTGCTCAATAGAATATGGTTCAAAAAAGCAATTACCTACGGAAGGTTTTTGTGTAGAATACATTCTTGGAATGTAAAACAATACTTTTTTTAAGAAATAACTAACAATACTTATTATAAGTAAATAATATGAAGAATGAATTTAACAGTCAAAGACTGAAATAACTTCTTTTTAAACTTTTTAAATAATAGAAAAAAAATAATTGAAAAAAAATAATTGCTTTTACATACTTTTTTGAAACTATGTAGTGTAAAGTACCCAATTATTGGAAAACGTCAATTTAAATTGACAATGAAATACAAACTTAAACATAATATCTAAAATATTATTTTACAAATGTAGAAAAAACATTCAATAATTGAGTGCTTTACTTTTTTTAATTCTAAAAATTTAAGTGTCATGTAATAATGTCACAATGCTAATAATCATTGTTTTAATTTCACTTTGGAAGGTATTTGTAAAATTCTTATATTATTAAATTACATATATTAGTCGTTTTCAGGTTCGTCTTTCACTAGTAGATGAACCTATAATTGAACACATTTTGATTTTAGTATTTAAAAATATCAAATTATTTGAATAAAGTTAGGTATTTTCAATAAATTTAAATTTAAATCAGATACAAACCTCTACTGTTATAGAATCATCCTTAATAAAACCTTTAATAGGATTAAGAACATCCTGCCACTTCATAAAACGATTAAATCCCCAATCATTATTTTCGCTGCTGTTTGACTTCTGAAAAAAAGAATTTTTAAAGACAGTTTATAAAAATTTCAAATACTGCATTTTTAACTAAAACTTTTGAAAAAGATTAAATAAATAAATATAACAATTGCGTTTTAGACTATTTTAAATTTGGTTGTTTATATAATTCCTTTTTAGTTATTTAAAAAAGTAATTCGTTTATTATATGAAACAAAATTTAGAATAAAATAGAAAATTAATTATTTTAGAAATAGGATTATTTAATTTTGAAATTGAAGCTCAAATAATGTTGCCGAAAGGAAGTTTAGTTAAATATTAATTCACTTAGTAAGAATTAGGGATAAAAATCAGATTCAGTTAAAAAACTATATTTGGTTAAAGTAACAAATTAATATCAAAAGTCAATTTAAGAATGAAAGTGAAAAGTTAATAATATAATTTGATTATAAGGTCAATTTAGTAAAACACAAATTAGGTTTTTTAAAAGTATTGTCAAATGGAGACTTTGACAAATAGAATTCAGAAAAATTCTCCAACAAATGCGGTAAATATAACTTACTCCTGGTGTAATGTTTCTGTCCTGGTTGGTGAGATAAAAGACGCAATTCAGCATTGGCGTAACATTTCCAGGATTCTCCTTTTTCATTGCATTGAAGAAAAAAGCCAAGAAATTCTATCGAATTATTTTTATTTTGTCCTGATAGCGGTATAATTTTTATCGACCAGGGCAATTGTCGAACCAAGACTGGTGCAGAGAGTTTAAAATCTTTCATTTTCGAAATATTATCCACATTGAGGCGAAAAGTGAACTCCGACCTTGTTATATACAGTTCTGAATCATAACATTCGCCGTGTGGTGAATCTGCTTCTAAGTGAATCTATAAAATAAAACAACAGCAAATAGAGAATTAGTATTAATTATCAAAAAATGTCCACTCACTGAAAATTAATAAATTTTTGGTTTTAATCAAGTCACTTACTTCCAATGATATAGAGTCGTTTTTAATGAAACCTTTTTCGGGATTATATACAACTTGCCAATCTATAAAGTCACCAAAGTCTGCTTCATTTGCCTTGTTATTAAACAAATGTTCGATTTCTGAAATTTGAAATTTTCAAAAAATTATAATTTATCAAATCTGGAAATGATGATAACAAAATATGTGTATGTATGATTTAAACATTTTTTATTGCAGACGAAATTACGAACTTTGAATTCAAAATGTCAAATTAAAAAATTGAAGGTTCAAAAAATTAAAAATTAATTTCATTCAAACTTTTGTTTTTTTACTAGCAAAAAATCCTACGCGCGCAATGAGCGCGTGAATGATTTAATTATCACAGCAGCAATCTGCTTACCTGCCTATCGGAGAAAATAAATTTAATTTATATCCTTCCATGTACATAATAATTATAATTTTTTTAAAATCTCGGTATTTCAACTAAATTATCATTTCCAGGTCTCAGAAGCATTTTTTTCTTTTGCTAATTATTTATTTTAATATTAGAAGAGTCATTATTTAAAATATTTGCAAGATGATGCATGGCGGGAAAACAGAATATTTGAAATTTTTGTCGTGGATTTTCCAAAAATTCCAGAAATTTCAACTAAATTATTATTATTCCCTCTCCTTGGAAGCAATTTTTATCTTTTGATAATTGTTTATTTTAATATTAAAAGCCATTCACAAAAAATTGCAAGAGGATCCAAGGTGGGGAAAGCAGTGATTTTGATTTTTTGTCACGGATTTTCAAATAAGTTTCAAATTAAAATCTTTGAAAATCTGAATTTTTCATTCATTTAACTAATAGTTCTGTAGAATTAATTTTTTTATAAAAGTTTAATTGAATTGTTTTTGAAATTACTTGAAGTTTTTATTTTCTAATATATAGGGGAGACTGGGGCGAAAAGTTAAACTGCCAAAACCGTTAAAATTCATTATCTTTCGAACGAAATTAGTTAGAGCATTGCAATTTTAATTATAGAAGGGTGTTATCACCCTAAATACATGTCCGGAGTTGTGTGCAATTCTGTTAATTTTTGTGGTGTCTATATTGAAAGTTTTTTTTCAACCTACTTTTGAAAATTTTTTCGAAAAAGAAAATATCAACTTTTAAGTATATTTTTTGCATTTATCCTCACCGCGATTTTTTTACTTCATTATTTGGGTCCCCTGAAGAGATACCTGAAGGTATTTGCAAAATATCTTTAGTCAGATTTTTTATATTTGTTTTTAAAGCCAAAAACGCACCATGGGGCGAAAAGTTAAATATTGGGTGGGGCGAAAAGTTAAATGTATTTTTACATGTTATTAAAAAAATTTTTTTTATTTTTCGTTTTTTTGGGTTTATTTGTTTAAAAATTATTTATTTAACATTGGGCAAGTACTCTGTCAAAAAACAAGACCGTTCACATGAAATAAACCAAAAAAAATTTTTTTTTTTTTGGAAATTTCAATTTTTTAACTTTACAACTAGCTTTTGTTAAATAAACAAAGATCTTTTATTAACTAAATTACTTGTTTACGTATACTTTAACTTACCTACTACTTATCACCTATCAGAAAATAGTTTTAGTAGGCTAAAAATAGAATTTAACTTTTCGCCCCAGCCATTTAACTTTTCGCCCCAGGGTGGGGCGAAAAGTTAAAAAAAACAAAATTTTCAAAAAAGGACAAAACAAGTATTTTTTGCGAAAATATCAGGAACTTTTTTATTGAAAGTTGTAGAGGACAAGTTGCCCTACAATATTGATATACAAATATTTGCATCTAAGCGGATTATATTGCAAAAAAAAATCATTTATGCAAAATTTAACTTTTCGCCCCAGTCTCCCCTATATTTAATTGAAAAATTTACGAATAATTGAAATTTTGTCGAATTGAATTGTAAAAAAATAGATTTGAAAATCCTTATAGAACTTTTTTTAAACATTATTAAAAATGTAATTGAATTAAAGAAGAATTGTAGTTAAAAATTCTAGAAAATAATAATTAAATTGAAATGATGAAAATAATTTTGAAGAAGTTACAATAACAATATTCTTATAATATAAAATAATGATTTTATCACTTGGTCATCTTTATGTTTTGTACAAATATTTTTATAAGTTGTTGAATTTCAAAAAGGTTTCAATTTGCAATTTTTGAAAATACCAATTCCTATGGAAAAGTAATACTGATTAAATATTTATTTAAAAAATAATAATTTTACAATTAAAGAAATTCGTAAATAAATGTAATAGAACATGTTTTTTAGTATCTAATAATTTTTAGAGTGAATCAGAATATTCTTTAGGGTAAAGGAGAAAGTCAAAATTTTGTCTGAAAATCAGGAAAAAATAAAATTTAATTTTTGTTGCAACCCTGTAGAAACACTGTTTATGGACTGTTTTATGGTATAAAATTTTTATTATTTTTAATATATATGTACATAATTACAAAAATATTTAAATATATTAAGTATTTCAGCAATAATGTTATTTTGATAAAACAGAGGAAATGCAAAACTTTTTTGTTAAATTTGATTTAAACTGAACACAAATTTTAAAGTTTTAGGGATTTTTTCAAACAATTTTAAGAATTTTAAGAAGAGAAGAAGGAGTTTTAAGCAATATAACGATAATAGGAGTATGCAACTTACTTTTGTTGAAATAATCCTGCTCCGAGTTGTGAGATGAAAGGCGTAAATCTGCTTTAGCGTAAGAACTCCAAAATTCGCTTTCTTCAATACATTGAAGAAAAAATCCAAGTGAATTTTTTGGCTGATTTTTATTAACTTGTTCTGGTCGTGGTACGACCTTGATTACCCATGGCAAGTTTTGAAGATAGAATGGAGCAGAGAATTGTTCAACACTTATCTTCGACACATTGCTAAGGGTGTAACGAAAAATAGTTTTCGAAGCACCGTTCGGTGCATCTGTTTCTAAATCAACCTAAAATTCATAGATTATGATTAGTGGAACAAATTTAATTTATGTTTATTTTAAAACCTAGCACATGCCTCCACTGTAACAGAATCATCTTTGATGTATCCTTTGTGAGGATCAAGAACGTCTTCCCATTTCAAAAAGTTGCTGAATCCCCAATGACACTCCTCGGTGTTAAAAAGATGTTTGAATTCTAAAAAACGAAATAATAATTCGAATTTTTTATTACAAATTCAAAATCCCATTTTTCTTTAAGATAAAAAACCTCTGCAATGTTAAAACTAAAATGTTTGTGTTCATTTTAATAATTTACCTTTTTGTATATATTTTTTTCCTTCTTGAGAGCAAAGGCGCATTTTTGCTTCAGCAAATGGAATGAAAAATTTGTCTTTTTGATCATATCTACTAGAGAGTGCGAAACTTATATTTTTATTTTTATTTAACCTTCGTTAAATAGTGATCCTCCAGGCTAAATTTTGTACATAAAATGATTTCGAGCATTGAAAACCACCAACTTTTATTTTTGACACATTGGAAAATTTATAGCGAACAGAAGCCTTCGATTTTCTTTTATCTATTGGTCCAAAAAGTAAAGAAAATGTTTATTTTATCATGTATAATAAATTTCTTGAAATAAAAGTGAAATAAAAATAAAATGAAAACTAAAAGATTTGCAGAAAATAAATAAAAATGCACCATATTACCATGAATCAGCAAAATAATTACTTATAATTAACGAAAGAATAAAAAATGATAATAAGAAATAGACAAACCTTTTTTTGGTAACATTTCTTTGCCGTTTTTACCACTTTTATTGTTATGTGGTATATAAATGTAGAATTGTGGACCAGGTTTTACGTGTGTTTACTATGACTAATTTTCAAACCGTACAAATGCCAACGTAAACAATGTCACTCACTGCCTTTTGGCCCTTTGTTCCTTATTGTCCTTATTAAATACTACTAATTATTATTGAAATAAATTTCTGGTTACTAAAATCTAATTATCGACAAATTTTATTATCAATATAATCATTATCGTTTAATAAAAATTTTAGTAATAATTTCTGTTTTTCTCGATGTGACACTCAGTCTATAACTTTTTGTTTTTAATTATTTGTCTTATAACGATCGCTGCAAAAAATTACTCCAATTAATTGAATTCACTTTAAGGAACTTTAAAAATAATAAATAGAATTTCAAATATTTATCTTTTATTTTATCATACAAAAATTTTATATGCGTACAAAAATACAATGCTTGTACATTTATCAGGAACATTCTTTGTATCACAAGAACTTTCAATAGTTGAAAATTATTTCAACTATATTAAATACTGGTATGTAATTATAGTGGCAAAATTCTCACTGCTAAATGGAATGTTTCCAAAAAGCAATGCTCTATAATATGTAAGGTTTTTGTGCACAACACATTTTTGGAATGTAAAATAATTCTTACTTTTTCTAAAAGAATAACTAACAATACTTATAAGTATTTATGTTTAAATAAGATGAAGAATGAGTTTAACAGACAACAAGCGAAATAACTTTTTTTCAAAATAGTAGAAAAAATAATTTGGTTTTTTCAGACTTTTTTGAAACTATGTAGTACAAAGTACCCAATTATTGCGAAACGTCAAATTAAATAACCAAAAAAAAATTAATTTCACTTTGGAAGGCACTTGTGAGTCTTATTTTCTTGAACCAATATATTTTTATATTAGTCGTTTTCACGTTCGTCTTTCACTACTATGTGTACCTATAATTGAACACATTTTCATATTTAAAAATTTCAAATCATTTGAATAAATTTAATTTCAGTAAATTCGAATTTAAAACCGGACACATACCTGCAGTGTTATAGAATCATTATTAATATAACCTTTAACAGGATTAAGAACGTCCTGCCACTTCATAAAACGATTGAATCCCCAGTCATTATTTTTGCTGCAGAAAAGATGTTTGATTTCTGAAAAAGAATTTTTTAACTCTCTTAATTGATAGAAATATCAAATACCGTTAACTGGAATAATTATACATCGTTGCCACAAAAGTTTTATTTTATTTTTCCCTGATTTATCCCTGATTTTCACATAAAATTTTGAGTTTTTCCCTGACCATGAAGAATGTTCTAATTCACTGTAAAAAATGATTAGATACTCAAAAAAATGTTCTAGTACATTCATTTACGAATTTCTTTAATTGTAAAATTATTCGAAAATATCAATAGTTTCATTTAAAACAAATATTTAATCATTATTATTTTTCCATAAAAATTAAGATCTTAAAAAATTTCAAATTCCAACCTTTTTCAAAATCAACTACAGTAGAGACTCCATTATCCGGACTAATGGATGCAGGCACTTGTCCGGATAATCGAAAATCCGGATAATCGAGTAAAGTACGAATTAAACAAATTTTGGATTAATAATTTTATGTATTTATTTGCATATGTATTAAAATAAGACTGAAACAAACTAAAACTTTTAAAGTCAACATTAATAAATATTTAGTTAGAAATATTTCAAAATATTTACATAAACATTTTCTTAAAATAATTAAAACACTTTAAAACGCAACATTTCGTGTAAAGAAATTTAAAATAGAAGTTAACGGCTTGAGACCTTATAAACTTTATATTAAAAAAAAAAAAAAATTTTAATTTTAAATTTGTCCGGATAATCGAATATCCGGATAATAGGGGTCCGGATAATGGAGTCTCTACTGTACTTATAAGAATCCTTATTAATAAAATCAGATGTCTGTCTGTACATTGCTTAAAACTTCAAAATGTTAACATGATTAGTTATTATGGACATCAGAGATTCCAAAAATGTTCTTAAAAAATTTAATGTATGTATGTATGTATGTATGTATGTATGTATGTATGTATGTATGTATGTTTGTCTGTCACAAAAACTTTGTACCCCAATCACACAAAAACATGTGAATCGATTTAAGTCCAACTTGGTAGGTTATTAGGTATTGACCCAAGGAAGGTTTATAAATTTACAGATTTAAAAAATATTAATTAGAACGGGAGATATTCAATTTTTTCAAAAAATTCAAAAAATCGAAAATTTCAAAATTTTTTATTTTTCATGGATTGCTTTTGAAGTTTATATACTTGAGTATTATATGTTATTTAGTCACATTATAGCATAACTTTGCAAAAAATAAAGTCCTATAACTAATATGTAAGTATAAAAATGTTTTCAAAAAATCGAAAATTTCAAAATTTTACATTTTTTTATGGATTGCTTTTAAACTTTCTATATTTGAGTATTACATGTTATTTGGTCACATTTTAGCATAATTTTTCAAAAAATACTATTCTACAACTAAGATGTAAATATAAAAATATTTTCAAAAACTTGAAAAATGGAAAATTTCCAAATTTCACAATTTTTAATGGATAGCTTTTAAACTTTCTAAAAATGAATATTATATGTTATTTAGTCAGATTTTATCATAATTTTGCAAAAAATACTATCCTACAAGAAATATAAAAAAATTTTCAATATATCAAAAAATCGATACTAATTACTATATGAAGTATAATTCAGTAGTATTTTTGGAGTCTCTGATTAATATTTTGATGTCAAAATAGTGCAATTCAAAATTATTTATCAAATCAATCTAATATTTTCAAGAAGTTCAGAAATATTGAAAATGGAAATTTTTTATGATTAAAATGATTTCGCAGGATGTCAAGAATTGTAAGTCACCTGTGATACAATACAAGCATATTATGCCACTAGGCAAAAACTTACATGTTAAAACGTTTTTTCATTTTAACTCTAGATTTAACTTTAAGAGATGTTTTGAGCAATGTAAAGACAAAAGTTAACACGGTGTCTATTTTTGTTTAACAAAATTCCCTGCTTTGTCCAAACTTTTCACGGTTTATCTCTTTTTTGTCAAATTTAAATTTACTTGATTTTATCCATAAATAAATCTACAAATGGCTATAAAAATTTACTTATTTTATGAAAATACTGTTTCTTAAGTTCATATAAATATAGATTGTATTACTTGCTGTCGTACAGTTTTCTGTTTATACTAATACATTTAACTGGGTATCTACCAAACGGGAAAAACTGTAAAAAGCTGGGAATATGCCGAACCGGGAATTTTCCTATCAAATTAAGAAAAAGTTTCATTATATTAATTCGCTTTTAAAAAATTGCTTTTTACTTCAATTTTTATTGATGTATAATATTTATGAAAACAGACCCGAGTCAAAATTTAAGCCCTACTTTCAGCCTAAAATTTAGGTCTTATGTTAGGTTTTAGCAGTCGTAACGTAGGGTCTACTTGCGATACAATTAGTTCCAATTAGACTCTACTATAACTCCAAAAACTGTATGGAAAATTTAATTTTTTTAATACATTAATTAAAGTACTACAAATTGATAAATATTGTTCTCTGCATTTGAATTGGTTAAAATAACTAATTTGATAACAAAAAGTCAATCACTGATTCAAATAGTAATATTTTCCTACTAAAATAGCTATAATGGTAACTAATTATTATTTTTTTCCGGTCAAATTAAATTCCCTAGCTATTTCCTGATTTTCCAGATTGGTAGAAACTTAAATGTATTGGTAGAAACTAAAACCCGTCGAAGACGGGTACGACAGCTAGTATTATTATAAAACATGATGACCGAGTGGTAAAATCATTATTTTATATAATAAGAATATTTTTACTGCAACTTCTTCAAAATTATTTTTATCATTTCAATTCAATTATTATTTTCTACAATTTTTAACTAATACTCTTCATTAAATCAATTATTTTTAACAATTTAACACTATATTCAATTATTCAAAAATTCTTCAATTAAATATTACAGGATTGCTACGCAACCTGGAAACCTGGAAAACCTGGAAAAGTCAGGGAATTTTGATCGAAATCCTGGAAAATTGTTGTTTTCTAAAGTTATTGTGTTTATTCTTGAAATCTAATTTCATCTAATTTCTTAAAATCTATTTCTTAAATATTTCAAAATTAATTCTATTTTAAAAGAATTGCGTTTACAATTTTTATAAGCATAAATAATTAATTATGGATAAAGATAGGGAGGTAAAACTGTCAATTAAATTTTATTCAGTTTTTGTTCATACTATTTGTACTTTTAATATAAAATAAAACTAGAAAATTTTTTAGAATATTAAAATAATTATTTCTTGTGGTTACTTATTTATTAGGTTTTATTGCTTTTTAATTATAATTAATCCCAAAATATTTTTAAAACCATATTTAAAATATCAATAATTTTTATATGACATTTTGAAACCACTTTTAAAATTTTTTAAAAACTAAGTTCAGATTCGTAATCAGTGACCCCAAAAACCTCTTCATACCCACTTTTGTGCAAATTGAATTATTTTTTAAATTTTCATCCGCCATATTGTATCCGCCATTTGGAATTTTTGAAATCCAACCACAGAATCACAATCAGCGACCCCAAAAACCCCTAAATATCCAGTGCTGTGAAAATTCATTATTTTTTTAAAATTTCGTCTGCCATATTGGATCCGCCATTTTAAATTTTGAAAAACTAACATCATGTTCGTAATCAGCGACCCCAAAAACCTCAAGATACCGATTGATGTGAAAATCCAACTGTATGAAAAATCTATGCATTTAGAAACATTTTCTTGGGGTTAAACTCATACACGGGGGGGTTAACGACGTGTAGAAATGAGTATCGCAAGGTTTTTTCTACTATTTGATCAATACACAAGATAATTTAATTTCAGGAACGTTGCTTGAAAAAAAAATTAAGTTTTCCAATACCTAAAAGTTTAAAAATTCTAGAGATATGTTCATACATTGTTTATTTAATAATTAAAAATAATGGATTTATAGTAGAATTTTAGTTAAAAACACTAAAACAAATTGAATTTTTAAGCAATTACAAATGATTGCAGAAATTTAATTATTTTCAAAAGTAGTAACATTTTTCTCGGAAATTCAATTATTTTCAAATATTTTAATAAAATTCTTGGCAAAATTTTAAATATTTTCAAAAACTTTCCTAAATTTAATAATAATTAATTTAATAATAATAATTTAATAATTTAAAGGTCTTACCTAACTATCCTTGCCCCAACCTCCCCTATTATTTTCAATACATTTTTAATTAAATTTCTTTAAAGAATAAGATTATTTTCTAAAATTTTAATGAAATTCTTTGCGTAACAATTCAATTTTTTTCAAAATAATTTTAATAAAATTCTTCGCAGAAATCCAAATATGTTTAAAAATTTACAAAAATTCTCGTCAAAATTTCAATTATCTTTATAAATAACTAGCTGTCGTACCCGTCTTCAACGGGTTTAAGTTTCTACCAATACATTTTAACAATGTTTCTACCAGTCTGGAAAATCAGAAAATAGCCGGGAATTTAATTTGACCGGAAAATTAATAATTAGTTACCATTAGCTATTTCGGTAGTATAATATTACTATTTGAATAGTCTCCACCCTTTAGCAAAAAATAAAAAATTATCAAAAATTCGAAAAACCGAATTTCTTAAAATTCAACATTTTTCCTTCTTTCTTATGGCATTTAGCTTCATTATTTTTGTGCTCTTGAAAAATACTTTACTTATTTAATAGTCTCCACCCTTTGGTAAAAAATCAAAAATTATTAAAAATTATGACAATTCAAAAAACCGAATTTATTAGAATTCAACATTTTTCCTTCTTTTTTATGGCATTTAGCTTCATTATTTTTGTGCTCTTCAAAAATACTTTACTTATTTAATAGTCTCCACCCTTTGGTAAAAAATTTAAAATTATGGAAAATTAGCAAAAATTCAAGAAACGGAATTTCTTATAATTCAACATTTTTTCTTCTCTTTTATGGCATTTAGCTTGATTATTTTTGGGCTCTTAAAAAATACTTTACTTAGTTAATAGTCTCCACCCTTTGGTAAAAACCAAAAATTATTAAAAATTATGAAAATTTCGAAAAACCGAATTTCTTAAAATTCAACATTTTTTATTCTCTTTTATGGCATTTAGCTTCATTATTTTTGTCTAATGTAGCAAATTTCTTACTTTACATACTGATCTTTAAATAAAAAACTTTAATAACTTTTCCTGAAAAGCTTGCTTAAAGATTAAAAATCACTATTTTTTAAGAAAAAAGTTGATCTAAAAAAACCAAAAAAAAAATTTCAAAATACGTCTTTTTTAAAAATTTTATTGTAGAAATGGGTTGTATTTATCTGGAAAAGTTAGCTAAGGATAGTTTTGCATTCATTTTTTGGAAAAATGTCATAACTTTCGTTCAAGTTAATATTTTTTAATCGGATAAGGCTATGATTTTAAGTTACGTTAATACCTAATAGACTGCCAAATTTCACTTTAATTGGTTACACCGTTTTCAATTGATGCGCGAACAAAGTTTTGCATACAGACAGACAGAATTTTTTTTTTTTACATTTTTCGAATTCTAATGTCTCAAAATGAAAAAATATATAAAAATTTTGAAGTTTGGAGCAATGTACAGACAGAAGTCTGATTTTATTAATATAGATAGATAACATTTTTCTCCGAAATTCAATTAGTTTCAAAATTAGTTAATAAAACTCATTGCAGAATTTCAATTATTTTTAATACAATTTTCATCAAAGGGCCTAGCGGAGTAAGCATGTAAAATCTGACCCCGCACAAAAATATTTGAAATTCTTGTTACATGTTCGCAGCATTAAGATAAAATTTTTCACCAAATATTTTTTCAAAAAATGCATTTTTGTAAGAGTTATGGAGGGGGAAAGAAAAATCAAAAATTTGTTTTTTCTCGAAAACCACTGGATCGATTTTAATGAAATTTATACGTGTTTTGTAAATTAATAAGAGGAATTTAAAAAAAAAAATTTTTAATTTTGCCCACAAAAAACCCTACAAAAATTTTTTTGGTCCTAATTTGGAGATACTACTTTGGAATTTTTACAGAAAATTCTCTTAAATATTGTGACAGGAAATTATTTTAGTCTGAATGTTACAAAATTTATCCTTGTCGTCTATTAATTAGAAGATCGGGGTGAATTTTGTATCGATAATGTCCTGAATATTGTCATGGGATTTGGCGCGTGCGTTAAAGGAATACCATGCTCGCGTTAACGATTGACAATATTCCTGGATCGACCGTCGTCTTGATCACATTGATTTGTCAAATTATATTGTTGTCTTATAGTGTAAAGTGTGTGTGGAGGTACCTCAGCGAAGGAGAGTTTAATAGACGTCGACTGTATAATTGTCAGTATTGTAAGTCTGTCCAATTATTAAATCTCCATAGTCGACAAACGCTTGATTTTATTGGGTTCACCCATTTTACCCCCCTTGAAATTCTCATTATTTAAAGTAAATTTAATTGTCTATTATATTTACTGTCGACCTTCTGTCGACTGGCGCTTGCGGTTTTATATATTTTGTTAATTATAAATTTTATTTTGAACCCTCACGGCAATTGAAGCCGGCTGCGTGAGGTGAAGAATCTTATTTTAATATTTTAATAAATTTGATTTTTGATAACAAAAGATTCTGTTTCAATATGTACTTTTAAGAAATATTTTTGTTAATTTTTTGAATTGGGTACAACATAGTGAAAAAAATTAACATCCTAGGTGGCGCTTCATTCCGGATGAAGCACAATGTATCCAGTAACAGATTATTTTTAAATTTGCTTGAAATTTAGTAATTATGTGTTTCTGGGGTCACTCATTACGAATTTAATGTTAGATTTTCAAAATTCAAAATGGCGGATTCAATATGGCGGACGTGTTTTTAAAAAATTCACCGTATTCGTTTTAAACTTGTCACTCTGGGGTTTTTGGAGTCGCTGATTTTGAATTTTGAAAATCTAAGATTACATTCGTAATGAGTGACCCCAGAAACACATAATTACTAAATTTCAAGCAAATTTAAAAATAATCAGTTACTGGATACATTGTGTTTCAACCGGAATGATGCGCCACCTAGAATTTTAATTTTTTTCACTATGTGGTACCCAATTAAAAAAATTAACAAAAATATTTCTTAAAAGTACATATTTAGGAGAAGTTTCTGTAAAAATTCCAAAGTAGTATCTCCAAATTAAGACCAGAAATTTTTTTTTTGAAAATTCAAAAAAATTTTTTTTTGGGTTTTTTGTGGGCAAAATTTTTTGAAATTCTTTTTATTAATTTATGAAACACGTATGAATTTCATTAAAATCGATCCAGTGGTTTTCGAGAAAAAACAAAATTTTGATTTTCCTTTCCCCCTCCATAACTCTTACAAAAATGCATTTTTTGAAATATATTTGGTGAAAAATTTTATCTTAATGCTGCCAACATGTAACAAGAATTAAAAATTTTTTTCAGCTGGGGCAGATTTTACATGCTTACTCCGCTAGGCCCTTTGTCGAAAAATGCAATTATTTTTAAAAATTTGTTGATAAAATTCTTTATGAAAATTCAATTTTAAGAAACATTCGATATTTCGTAAAATTATATTGTAAACAAAAGAATTTGAAAATTTACAAAGAACTTTTTCAAAAATTATTTAAAAAAATTGACTTCAAGAAGAATTTTAGTTGAAAATTCTAGAAATGAATAATCGTAATGATGAAAATAATTTTTGAAGAAGTTACAGTAACAAAGTAGCAAGTTTTAATTATTATAAAACATGAAGATATCGATCACTCCGAGTCTTCGACTCGAATGATTAAATATTTATTTAAAAATAAAGTTATTAATGTTTTCGAATAATTTTTGTTTTAAAAACCTGGAAAAATTCCGTTTTTTAACCTGGAAAAGTCAGGGAATTTGAAAAGAGCAAAAGCGTGGCAACCCTAAATAATATATGTGACCTGGACAGTGAAAAGGGACCTTACGTGCGAAAACAGCAGCTAAAGGTTAACTTAGAAAAACCCTTGTAACTTTTTTAAATATTAATATTTTTTAATCAATTTAGGCTTATTTTCTTCACCGTGGATCACAGTATCAAAATAAAAAACATTCAAGTAATGAAAAAAATTTGTAAGAGTTTGCGGTGCCCCCCATAGAACCGCTACTGACAGTCTAAAATCAAAAAAACAATTTTTAATCTTTAGTATACATAAATACCCAGTGAAAGTATATAATGGAATTAAAAAAAAGTAAAAAAAACGAAAATGCGGTACTTTTAAAGTCAATTTTTAAGAAATGATGATTTTGATCTTTTGACTTTAAAAGTACCGCATTTTCGTTCTTTTTACTTTCATCATATACGTCCACTAGGTATTAATGTATGTATACATTAATATATAAAGTATATTTATACTAAAGTATAAATTTTTTTTTATTTTAGACTGCCAGGAGCGGCTCTATAGGGGGCACCGCAAACTCATACAAATTGGAGATCGACAATTTTTGGGGCCCTCTACGAATCGTAAATATCGGTTAAAAAACGAAATAATTTTTTCTTTTTGTAGATTTTATAATGTACTTTAAGGTGCAAAAATCGTTTTTAATATTTTAAATAAAATGACTGTGAAAAAAAACATTAAAGTGGGGCCTACTTTTTGCCTTTGCAAACGCAAGTACGCCTTAACGGGGTCACCCCGTGTGATGGGTTCAAAAACTCGAAAATTTTTTTTTTTCATAAATCACATCTACAATTTGTGTAGAATATGTGGGTAAACAGAATTTTTTATTTTTGACATCCTAAGAAAGTTGCAGCACTGAGAAGACAAGGAGTTTCCAAGCGAATAATGTATTACTTAAACTTTGACAGGCGTTTTTCTCAAAACTGGCGTTTTTCAAAACAAAACTGTGTTTTTCAAACTGGCGTCCATGATATCTCGAAAACGGCTTGACCAATATCGCACAAATTTATAGGGCGTGTTCAGCACATATGTGGCTATCGCCCGAACTAGGATAATTGAAAAAGGTCAACTTGTTTCTTTTTTATACAACAAAATAGACTAAAAAAATTTTCAAAGCCGCGTAAAAAATTCAATTTTTAATATTTTCAAATAATCCTAGTTCCAGCGATAGCCACATCCTCACAGATTAAGATGCCTTTTGATTTTTCGATTTTAGTTTAGTCAATTAGTCAGTATCGTGGACGCCGATAGACGGCGTTTTTATGATCATCATCACTTTCCAGTTTTATAATTCGAAATCAGTAAAATATTTTTACTTGCAAAAATGTTAATTTGTTGTTAAAATGGAACTGAATATATGGTCAGAATTTTGAAGTCCTAAGTTTTCATGGTTCTTAAAAAGAAAATCCCAAAAAAACTCTTAAAAAACGTCTGCCACACGGGGTGACCCCCTTAAAGTAACAAGTGTCAATTTAATTTTATAAGTGAAAATTTAGGAAAATATTTTGATTAAAAGCAAATTTTAAATGGAAATTTTGACAAAAAGAATTTTGAAAAATTCTCTGAATTAAGGAAAATGATACTTACTCCTAGCAAAACATTCTTGTTCACGTCTGTAAGATAGAAGACGCAATTCAGCATCAGCGTGACATCTCCAGGATTCTCCTTTTTCATTACATTGAAGAAAAACGCCAAGAAATTCTATCAACTTTTTTTCATTTTGTCCTGATAGTGGAGCAACTTTAATCATCCAGGGTAACTGACCAACATAGACTGGTTCAGAGAGTTTAGAATCTTTCATTTTTGAAACATTTTCAACTGTGAAATTAAAAGTGTACTCTGTTCTTGTTATACACAGTTCTGAATTGTAACTTTCACCGTTTGGTGAATCTACATCCAAGTAAATCTAAAATTAAACAATATTAGCGAATAATTAGTATCTTATCTATTAATTATCAAAAAATTTCCACTTATTGGAATGATGTTAATTTTATCGTTAAATCAAGTCACTTACTTTCAATATTAAAGAGTCATTTTTAATATAATCTTCATCAGGATCAAATACAACTGGCCAATCTATAAAGTCACCGAAATCTGCTTCATTTTCTTTGCTACTAAAGAAGTGTTCGACTTCTGAAAATTTATATTTTCAAAAATTAAATAACTTATTTCTTAGACAGTATCTTTGTTTCTTTTTTTAAAGACTCTTGCGACTATTATCAATTTTATTTTCATTAAAGTCGTTGCGAACCAATTTTTAAAAATTTTGATACTTTCAGAAATGATTTTGCAAGCAGACTAAAGTTCGAAACTTATATTGAATAATACGACACACAGTGGGACAGAATCGTGAAAACATGCCGAAAACATCAAAATATTCTATGGTTTATATAAAACTTAGTTTAATGATTAATTGATTATTTTAAAAAAAAGAACAAAGCTAGATCTTGCTGAATTCATAACTTTTTCAATAATTGCTTTTCAAAAAAATTCATTTGAAAGTTTATAGTGACTTCTTGATTTAATAGTTCTTTTTCTTGTTCATACAGTCAACTCTACCAATAGTGCCGCTATAAATAGTGCCACTTCTCTTTCTCGCTCGAGCTCTATCCCCACTTTAGCGACTCTAGCACGGCTTCTGAATTTCGAGTTTCCCCTAAGAGAGAAATATACAAACAGTGAGGGTACTACAGTTCCAAGAAAAGTCGTAAACGCTGTGCAATTTTGCGGCACTATTGATAGAGTTGACTGTATTATGAATTACAAAACATGGGAAAGTGTTCTAAAGCTTATCATGGGACGACTCCAACTTAGAGAATGAAAATGCGATCAAATTTGAGCTTTTTATAGTATTTTTACGAGCGCGATGTATTTCTAATTTTAATTTGTTGTTCTTAAAAATAAGAAGGCAATCTGTAAAAGAACAAGATTGGATTAAAAAATAAATAAATTAAAATAATTTAATTTCAGGGTTTTCGGCACGTTTTCACGATTCTGCCCCACGGTGCGACAGCTAGTGTAGAAATAAAATAAAAATAAGAAAGTACTGTAAAAAGCAAAAAGTTATATATTAATAAAGAAAAGAGTGAAGCTTACTTTTGTTGAAATAATCTTGTTCCGAGTTATGAGATAGAAGGAATAAATTTGCACTAGCGAAACAACTCCAAAATTCTCCTTCTTCGTTACATTGAAGATAAAAGCGAAAAGTTTTTCTTGACTTTGGTACGATTTTTATAACCCACGGCATACTTTGAGCATAAAATGGTGAAGAATATCGAATACTATTAAGTGTTGAAATATTATCAACAGTAAAAGAAAAAAATGCTTTTGGAGCATCATCCGGCGCATCTGTTTCTAAATCAACCTAAAATTAAGAAAATGAAATATTACTAACTATATGTATTCAAAGACGTATGATTAATAGAACAAGTATAATTTAAGTTTATTTAAAAACTTAAGCACATACCTCCACTGTAACAGAATCATCTTTAATGTAACCTTTATCAGGATTAAGAACTTCTTCCCATTTTAAAAACTGTCTGAATCCCCGATCATTATCCATGCTATTAAAAAGATGTTTGAATTCTAAAGAAAATAATTCAAATTATTTTATTGTAAATTTAAACCCTTCTTTCTCTTTAAATAGATCGAATAAAAATTCTGTTTGTATACTTAAACAGTGTTGCCACCAAAATTTAATTTTGTTTTTCCTGACTTTTCCCTGATTTCCAGACAAAATTTTGACTTTTTCCCTAAGGAATATTCTGATTCACTCTAAAAATTATTAGATACTAAAAAAAATGTTCTATTAATTTATTTGCGAATTTATTTAATTGTAAAATTATTTGAAAACATCAATAATTTCTTTTTTAAATAAATATTTAATCATTATTATTTCTCCATAAAAATTGAGATTTTCAAAAATTTTAAACCTTTTTAAAATTTAACAACTTATAATAATTAAAGATGAGAGTGATAAAATTATTATTTTATATTATAAGAAGATTGTTACTGTAACTTCTTCAAAGTTATTTCCATCATTTCAATACAATTATTATTTTCTAGAATTTTTAACTAAAATTCTTCTTTAAATGAATTATTTTTGATATTTTTTTAAAAAGTTCTATAAGGATTTTCAGATCCATTTGTTTACAATTCAATTTTCATCTACAATTTTAATTAAAATTCATTTTCAAATAAATTTTTATTAGAAAATTCTACGAGATTTCAATTATTTAAATACAATAATAAATAATTTATTGAATAATTGAATGCTTCTTAAAATTTAATTCTCATGAAGAATTTTATCAACAAATTTTTAAATAATAATTGAATTCTTTCGACGAATTTTAATACAATTTTTAAGAATAATTATTATATTTTTCAAGGGATTCTATTAAAATTTTGCGGTGAGTTTTATTACTTATGAAAATAATTGAATCAATGTAAAAAATTTTATTATTTATGAAACTAATTTAATTATTGGGAAGAAATTTATAAAAAATTTGTAAATAATTGAATTCCTGTGAAATTTTTATTATTTTTATGAAAATAATGAAATGTTTGCGTAGAATTTAAAAAATTTTCTCTTAATTAATTGAATTATTGTGGAAAATTTTATTAAAATAGTTGATATTGAAAAACAGATATAAAAAAATTCTAAAATCTAAGTCCTTTAAAATTTCTAATTAAATTGATTCAAAATTGTAATTTTATAAAATTTCAAATTAAAACCTTTTGAAGTTGATCTATTTATGAAAATATTATTGTAAACGCATCTCTTTGACAATTCAATTAATTTTGAAATATTTAAGTCGGAAGTAGAAAAAATGTAAGGTTCCGTATTAGAATTCGTGGCAATTTCATAGTTTATGAGTCAAACAAAAAAGACACAAAAATTCAGAATTTTCTTTTGAATTCTAAAAATTTAATTTTTACAGTACTTTTAATTGAAATCCCTGTCTTTTCCCTGACCTGTGGCAACCCTGTTAAGAACAAAGCTAGAAACATAAATATAATTAATTATAAATCTTAATAAGTGAATATAAAAATTATTTACCTTTTTCTATATATTTCTGTCCTGCTTTTTGAGGCAAGAGACGCAATTTACCTTTTGCAAATTGACCCCCAGTTTTGTCTACTGTACTGCATGAACAACATTCAACAAAAAATCCGAAATCTAATGCTTTACCAGTTAATCGTCGTTGAACTTTAATCGTCCAGGGTAAATTTTCCAAATAAAAAGGTTTCGTGCGCTGAAAACAATTATTTTTCATTTTCGAAAGATTGGAAAACTTCCAGCGTACGGAAGCCTTTGATTTTCTTTTATCTGTAGAAAAGATCTTTATTATAGACCATATACCAATTAAAAAAGATTCTATATTACAGATTTGTTATGGATTTTTTTAGAAATTTGTAAAATTACGTCATTAGAATAAGCGAATTTTTCTTTCAATGCAGTGAAACTGATATAGGGTAACTGTACCAATTGTCGAGGGTTTTAGGCAACATGTGACTTTGACATTTTTTTTCTCGGAAGTAAATGCACTTTAAAATTTGATTTTTGTATATTTGGACGAAGGATCTAATAATGTTTAATATTAATATTTATTTTTTTAATATAAACTAAATTGTTAAGCAAAAAATATATTTAAAAGTCAATCGAGCAAAAGCACCATTTGTCGATGGTCTTGTGCTAATTTCTCGAGGGTCTGTTCCAATTGTCGAGGGTATGACATTTTTAAACATATAACCCAATATAACCTAACAATTAACCTGTACAAATATTAGAAAATCGAGTAGATATTTATTTTTTCGATAAAAATATTATAGAACATTACCAGAAAACAAATATATTTATTTAACTATAATTGAATAATTTATAATATCGATATAAAACATTTTTATAGTAGATGATACAGGACAGAAAATTATTTAACTGTTTTTTAAACTTTCATAAATATAAGTTAATTAAATTTAATCAATTTTGTTAATCAGACATTAATTGAAAAAATAAATTAATTTAAGACACATTAAATTTGTAAACGAATAAAATAAACTTTTATTACGAACTGTAAATATAATGGTTAATTATAATTAAACTATAGTACAAAATTTTTTAGTTTTAAATAATGCATTTTTTTTATTAATTTTTTTTCCGTCTTCCTCGTTTTTTTTTGTTGATTATTTTCTGTTGGTTGTAAATTTTTGGAGCATTTTTTTTCTTTTTCTCTGTACCTATAAATGTTTGGCATTTATGTTTGACGTTTAGTAAATAAACACTTAACCATCGATAAATGGTGCATCAGCGAAAAAAGTGACTACACCAATTTTCGAGTCATTACCTCGAAAAATGGAACTGTCAAAAAAGGAACCAAATACCGATGATTTGCTTTTAAAAAATATTAAATATTTTTTTTTAACAAAAAAACATGCATACAAAATTAATTTAGTTCGTGTACAAAATAATAATAATAATTTTGTACACAAAAAGTCATTATAAATACGTTTAATTTGCATTTCTAAAAATCTGTTTTAATCAACTTGAATTCGTGTAAATTTCACAGCAGTGAATTATAATATTAATTAAATAATTATTTTAGTAGAATCGCTACGAAATTTGTATATATAAATATACAGTTGAAAATACAAAGATTATTTAGAAATTTTTTTTGTTCTTAAATATTATATATTATACTATTTATCTAAAAAAGAAAATTATTATCCTCGACAATTGGAGCACCCTCGGCAATTGGTGCAGTTACCCTATATGTATTAATTTTACAAGAAAGAATTTAAATCTTTTAAAGGCTCAATTTTACAAGTTTCTATAAAATTCCAATGCGAAAACAAAAATTATTTTTAAAAATTTTAATTAATTTTTTAACAAAAGGAGGAAATTTAAAGATAAAATTAAAAAAACTGCGGATATTTAAATATTTATTTCAAGTTTCATGAGTTTGGGACTCAATGTTAATTTCAACTTATCAGGAAATTTTCGATGTTGTGGTGTGAAATTATGGTAATAACAAAATTTTATTATTTTAATTAAAAATCATTAATAAATATTCAACTAATTGATTGTTATAAAATGATACATTGAAGACATTTTCGTTCTATATTTTATCGATTTCAACGTAATTAAAAACATTTTAGTTTGAGGTTATGTTCTAATATTACCACTATAGCTTTTATTACGGAAAACTAATAAAATTAAAAAGAAACTTTATTTCAGACGTTATTTCCATCAAGCAGCAAAATAATTATTTATAATTTACGAAGGAACAAAAAATAAACAAACCTTTTTTCAGGAGTTTCGGGAACATTTCTTCGCCACCACCGCCACCACTTTTGACTTTTATGACTTTTACGTTATGCAGGGTTGTGAAGTTACGCGTAAATCGAGGTACTTGTGGGTTGCATACATTCACTGTAAAAAAATGAGACGCATGCATATCCCCTAATCACCAAGTCGTCGAATGATCAAATAGTCGAATGCCAAGTAATCGAATGGACAAAACGTCGAATGCTAAAAACATCGAATGGACAAAACGTCGAATGCTAAAAACATCGAATCGGCATTTAGTCGAATGTTCAAAACGTCGAATGATTAAAACGTCGAATGCTAAAAACGTCGAATCGTCAATACGACGAATGTTCAAAACGTCGAATTATCAATTCGTCGAATGTTAAAAACATCGAATTGTCAATACGTCGAATGTTCAAAACGTTGAATGATAAAAACGTCGAATGCTAAAAACATCGAAGCGTCATGTAGTCGAATGCTAAAAATATCGAATCTTCAGTTAATCGAATGCTAAAAACATCGAATTCTCAATTCGTCGAATGTTCAAAACGTCGAATGTTTAAAACGTCGAATGCTGAAAACGTCGAATGATAAAAACGTCGAATGCTTAAAACTTCGAATCGTCATTTAGTCGAATGATAAAAACATCGAATCGTCATTTAGTCGAATGATAAAAACATCGAAACGTCAATACTTCGAATGCTAAAAACATCGAATTTTTAATTCATCGAATGCTTAAATCATCGAATTTTCCATTCGTCGAATGTTCAAAACGTCGAATGATCAAAACGTCGAATGCTAAAAACATCGAATTCTCAAATCGTCGAATGCTCAAATAATCGAAACGCCATCTGTTCGAAATGTCAAGTAGTAGAATGGTAAAGTAGTCGGATGGTAAAGTAGTCGAAACGCCATCTGTTCGAATTGCCAAGTAGTAGAATGGTAAAGTAGTCGAATGTTCAAAACGTCGAATGATAAAAATGTCGAATGCTCAGAACATCGAACTGTTAATTCGTCGAATGCTCAACACGTCGAATGATAAAAACGTCGAATGCTAAAAACATCGAATCGTCAAAAGTTCGAAAAAGTTCTTTGTTTTAAGTTAATGTCTACTGAAGACAAAGAACTTTTTCGAACTTTTGACGATTCGATGTTTTTAGCATTCGACGTTTTTATCATTCGACGTTTTGAGCATTCGATGAATTAACAGTTCGATGTTCTGAGCATTCGACATTTTTATCATTCGACGTTTTGAACATTCGACTACTTTACCATTCTACTACTTGGCAATTCGAACAGATGGCGTTTCGACTACTTTCCCACATAGCACAATAGTATGAGGTAAGGTTATGTTGAGTACTAATCGTAAGGCACATAAGGTTACACAATATTGCTGCGGTAGACCTGAGGTGAACTAAAAACTTCCGCCATGGAGGTAAGGTTACATGTTAGGGTGTGGTGAGTATATATGATAAGGCCATGGTAACCTTACACGTTAAGGTTAAGGTAACCTTACACGTTAAGGTTGATGTAATCTTACACGTTAAGGTTGAGGTAACGTTACATGTTAAGGTTGAGGTAAGGTTACATGTCAAGGTTGAGGTAAGGTAATTATTAAGTTGTAAGGTTGAGGTAAGGTTGTGATAAATTTACCAGTTATGGAAAATATTGAAAAAATAATTAATAAATAAATATTCAATTAAAAAGTTAGTTTGTTGCTCTTCTCTATTTTGGAAACCTGACATGAAGCAGAAAATTTTAAAAACAAATTTGGGGGGACTGGGATTTGAACCCGGGATCGACGCGCATAAACCTATCATTCTAACTAACTGAGCTAAGTAGAGAACTGGTAGAAGGAAAATTAATATTGCCTTTAAGGAGTTAATCATCTTCTTGGTTCACCTTAAAGGCAACATTAATTTTCCTTCTGCCAGTTCTCTACTTAGCTCAGTTAGTTAGAATGATAGGTTTATGCGCGTCGATCCCGGGTTCGAATCCCAGTCCCCCCAAATTTGTTTTCAAAATTTTCTGCTTTATGTCAGGTTTCCAAAATAGAGAAGAGCAACAAACTTAACTTTCTAATTTAATATTTATTTATTATATTATTAATTATTTTTTCAATATTTTCCATAACTGGTAAGCTTATCACAACCTTACCTTAACCTTACAACTTATTAATTACCTTACCTCAACCTTGACATGTAACCTTACCTCAACCTTAACATGTAACGTTACCTCAACCTTAACGTGTAAGGTTACATCAACCTTAACGTGTAAGGTTACCTTAACCTTAACGTGTAAGGTTACCATGGCCTTATCATATATACTCACCACACCCTAACATGTAACCTTACCTCCATGGCGGAAGTTTTTAGTTCACCTCAGGTCTACCGCAGCAATATTGTGTAACCTTATGTGCCTTACGATTAGTACTCAACATAACCTTACCTCATACTATGGTGCTATGTGGGTTACCATTCGACTACTTTACCATTCTACTACTTGACATTTCGAACAGATGGCGTTTCGATTATTTGAGCATTCGACGATTTGAGAATTCGACGTTTTTAGCATTCGACGTTTTGATCATTCGACGTTTTGAACATTCGACGAATGGAAAATTCGATGATTTAAGCATTCGATGAATTAACAATTCGATGTTTTTAGCATTCGAAGTATTGACGATTCGATGTTTTTATCATTCGACTAAATGACGATTCGAAGTTTTTAGCATTCGACGTTTTTATCATTCGACGTTTTGAGCATTCGACATTTTGAACATTCGACGTTTTTAGCATTCGACGTTTTAAACATTCGACGTTTTGAACATTCGACGAATTGAGAATTCGATGTTTTTAGCATTCGATTAACTGAAGATTCGATATTTTTAGCATTCGACTACATGACGATTCGTTGTTTTTAGCATTCGACGTTTTTATCATTCGACGTTTTGAACATTCGACGTATTGACAATTCGATGTTTTTAACATTCGACGAATTGATAATTCGACGTTTTGAACATTCGTCATATTGACGATTCGATATTTTTAACATTCGACGAATTGATAATTCGACGTTTTGAACATTCGACGTATTGACAATTCGATGTTTTAAGCATTCGACTAAATGCCGATTCGATGTTTTTAGCATTCGACGTTTTGTCAATTCGATTACTTGGCATTCGACTATTTGATCATTCGACGACTTGGCGATTAGGGGATATTCATGCGTCTCAAAAAAATCTGGTGTAAAATAACACGAAACTTGTAATTTCACACATCAAAATTATAGGTTGTACGTAGTAAATTTATTTCGTTCCAAAAGTAGTTTTACTATTTTTAATAATTTTACATTATACGACTATGTAATTTAATAGTTTTGTGTAAATTTACTACGTCCGACGTAGGAAAATTTGATCACTATGTCCGACGTGGTATTTTTACATTGCGTGTATTTCTACACTTTGACGTAATATTACGTCGCACGATCTGTACAATTACATGGCGAATGTAATTTTCTTATTCCTTTAAGATTTTCAAAAAATTTTCAAGTTTTTATAAATAACTCTAAAAAAGTGTATATAATGTACATTTATAGAAAGTATATGCTAATTTATAAGTAAATAATAATATAACAAAAAGTTTTGGGCTATATTTCATAAATACAAAAAGTTACGACTGAAAATATTATTTCAAAAAATATTTGCAGGTTATGTAGATTACAGTCGGCGTGTAAAAATACCACGTCGGACATAGTGACCAAACTTTCCAACGTCGGACATAGTAAATTTACAGCAGATTTTTTTATTGATATGTATGGTTGCATACATTTGTATCAGAATGAAAAGAGCAGAATGACTATTATGTCGAATTCACAAACGTAGAATCTGTAACTTTGCGAATTTGTTTTTATCGAATACAAAATTTAAGAAAATTATTTTCACCAATTAACATTGACATAATTTTTATTTTCACTAAACAATAATTGATAGAATTTTAAAATAGTCGATTTCTTATTTAGTCGAAAGTTTAAAAATCCGAAATTTAATTAAACCTAATTTTATTTTGTCGAATGGTGGTTCAATATAATGTGAATATTAACGAAATTTATTATAGCCGAATTTATAACTAACCTAAATGTAACTCAACCGAAAAGTAATATTACATAATTCTATAGAAATTAAAAGTGCTCGAATTATCATTTAATCGAATATTTATTATATAGAATTAATTTTAATCGATATTTCGAAATCTCTAAATGCAAATTAATCTAAACTAATTTTTAAGGAAAATACAACTAAGCGAATTTCTAATTATCCGAAAACTAATTTGGTAGAAAATTTTTGTGGGTGAATTTAATTTGAGCCAAAAAGCAAGTAGCCGAAACGTCATCTATTATAATCTTAAAATGGCGAAAAAGCTATTTGTAAGAATGGTTAAATAGTCGAAACGCCATCTATTCGAATTGTCCAGTAGACGATTCGTAATTTAGGGTACAGTCACACGATCTAATGCATCTGCATGATGCATGCATGCAGAAACATTTGACCGTTCACACCTCATTTTTCGCTTTCAGAAAATCAGATTTCTGGCGGGATATTTAAAATTTTAATCAATTTTAAATATCCCGCCAGAAATCTGATTTTCCGAAAGCGAAAAATGAGGTGTGAACGGTCAAATGTTTCTGCATGCATGCATCATGCAGATGCATTAGATCGTGTGACTGTACCCTTAGCCGAATGGAAAAAACGTCGAATGGACAAAACGTCGAATTTTGAAAACATCGAATTGTCAATTCATCGAATTCTCAAAACATTGAATTGTCAATACGTCGAATGTTTAAAACGTCGAATGATAAAAACGTCGAATGCTAAAAACATCGAATCGTCAAAAGTTCGACAAAATTTGATTGATCTAAGTAAAGATTTTTTTGTTTTAAGTTAATGTTTACTTAGATCAAACAAATTTTGTCGAACTTTTGACGATTCGATGTTTTTAGCATTCGACGTTTTTATCATTCGACGTTTTAAACATTCGACGTATTGACAATTCAATGTTTTGAGAATTCGATGAATTGACAATTCGATGTTTTCAAAATTCGACGTTTTGTCCATTCGACGTTTTTTCCATTCGGCTAAATTACGAATCGTCTACTGGACAATTCGAATAGATGGCGTTTCGACTATTTAACCATTCTTACAAATAGCTTTTTCGCCATTTTAAGATTATAATAGATGACGTTTCGGCTACTTGCTTTTTGGCTCAAATTAAATTCACCCACAAAAATTTTCTACCAAATTAGTTTTCGGATAATTAGAAATTCGCTTAGTTGTATTTTCCTTAAAAATTAGTTTAGATTAATTTGCATTTAGAGATTTCGAAATATCGATTAAAATTAATTCTATATAATAAATATTCGATTAAATGATAATTCGAGCACTTTTAATTTCTATAGAATTATGTAATATTACTTTTCGGTTGAGTTACATTTAGGTTAGTTATAAATTCGGCTATAATAAATTTCGTTAATATTCACATTATATTGAACCACCATTCGACAAAATAAAATTAGGTTTAATTAAATTTCGGATTTTTAAACTTTCGACTAAATAAGAAATCGACTATTTTAAAATTCTATCAATTATTGTTTAGTGAAAATAAAAATTATGTCAATGTTAATTGGTGAAAATAATTTTCTTAAATTTTGTATTCGATAAAAACAAATTCGCAAAGTTACAGATTCTACGTTTGTGAATTCGACATAATAGTCATTCTGCTCTTTTCATTCTGATACAAATGTATGCAACCCGTACTTGTGCTTAGAAATGCCTTCTCTCTCAGGGAAGGCACTAATTTGACATGTTTTTCACACTTTCTATATTCCTTATAGTTTGTGTCAATAATTCAAACAAAATTCTGTTTTTCTGGCTGATTTTTTAGACAATATAGGCAATGGGGTTCCACCAAGAAGACTATATACAGGAGGAACAACTCGAGTATTTCCGATGGTCCCGATTTTAACGGACGATTGGGCGTACTACCCCGAGGCGCACTAGTCTTCTGCACATCTCAACACATGCATAACTGTGTATATTTTATATATATTCCATCTGACAGCTGTAGCAGCTGCAAGTTTTTATTATCTCCTCCATATTGAATAATAAGTGTAAATATTAAGTGAACTTAATATTTTTAATACAGAAATTTCTAAAAAAAGTGAGAAGTGTATTTAACACTAGTGTTTTTAATTATGATTCGTCTGGATGAAGAATGTTAATTTAAATAATAAAAGTTGTAATGGGATTTTCATAACCATTTTTTATCTTACAATAAAAAAAGGGTATGTTATATTATAAATTATTATCTATCCTATTGTAATATATAATTTATTATATATTTATTATTGCTGCAATTATATTTATTTCTGTTATAGCATTGTATTTGAGGTTAACCATAACCTCCAAAGAGGAATTTTTCCAACTGAACTAAGTTTTCGGATTTAACGCTCTACGATATTTCAAAGATTTTAAAAGGGATATATAAATTATAAAAACTAATGAATAATTATAATTGTAAAGAGTATTTGTAATAAATGTTAGTTTTACGATTTATGAACAGAATAATTTAAAAAAAGCATTTAAAAAAATTTTTTACTTACGGATTACGTCAATGAATTTAATTTGTTTAATATTATATATTTTCATTAGTACTTACCTCATTTTATGGAAATTTATAAAGATGACGATAATTTTCTGTACAATTTTTATCGCCACTTGTACAATTATTTATGCAACACTGTCTCTTTTGGGGCATTTCATTTAGTGTTTTCAAAATCAACTGTCACAGAACTTGCACATAACCAAGAAAATTGTAAACAAAACAAACACACATTTATTTAAAGATACACAGATAGAGTTTATACAGTTATGCATGTGTTGCGATGTGCAGAAGACTAGTGCGCCTCGGGGTAGTACGCCCAATCGTCCGTTAAAAACGGGACCACTGCTCTCTATGAACAAGCAGGCGAGTTGGTTCTCCTGTATATAGTCTTCTTGGGTTCCCACAGCCAAACTTGACCAGTAGAGTGCAGCACCACTATAAGATTTTATGGCGCAAAATTTTAAATGTGATTTGTTGCATAATATTAATTAAACAATATAAATGGTTTTTGTTCATGTAAATAAAGAATAAAATCATTAGATCAGAAATATTGGTTATAATAAAATACGGAAAACTATTTAAGGATGTTAAGAGATTCAAAATTAAAATGTGTTTACAATATTTTTAATGAAAGGCAACATAACCTCAATTTTTTTATCTATACTTTTACGATACTGTGACTTGCAAAACCGTCTTTTTTCCTGCGACACAAATTCCTCGCTCAAGTAATTCAATTTTTAACTTTTCACAATTCCACAAAAAGTATTTATTTACTTCGTTTATTTGTTTGTAAAACAAATATGACTTTTCGCGAAATAAAAAATTAAGCGCTAGACAAATCTTGTTACGAGCGACTGCCATCTCGCTCGTTTATTAATCGATACCTCGATTCGCGAATAAAACCCGCGGTTGAATTTAAAATATTTCATTATATTTATTTAATTCTGAGAAAACATAAAACAGGAAATCTTAAACTCTTGAAACTTGAAATACAAATAGAATAATAAATAACTTTGACAACTATAGTTAAAATTTGTCACGCACGAAGTAAAGTATATTCCCTGAATAAATACAAACATTCACATGTTTAAGAACTATCGAAACATTCCGATGTCCCAAAAGAATTTGATAAAAGTATATTTGATTCTTGTAATTGTTGATGACTCTTATGATAATTGACGTATTGTATTATTGTTTATACTCCTGCCCTATTGGCCTTACGCACTTCGACAAGAGTCCCCGAGAAATACTTTTTTGGATTAAGCATAACCATTCTACTTAGAAATTTTTTCTATATATTAACCTAATTTGCGTCTACAGCCGACCTTATTAGGAGTACTCGCATTACGCCTGGACCACCCGTCAATGGGTTTTCTCGCCAGAGAAGAGGGAAACTGTAGAAAACCTCTCTGAGTACAACCGGTTTATCGACAGTCGAGTTCTAATGGTGTGTACCGGACAATAATCGACGGTGCACATCATTATACCTCGACGTCAAACCTCTCGCTCAGATTGTCTCACGTGCCGGAAAAATACCAAGCCAAGTGGGCGCGAACCAAGGGTACTTATACCCTTGGTCCTTAAACGACCACCAACGCCAGGCATCTATCCGACTGAGCCAATCTGTCGACGTATTGTATTATTTAAAGTAAAATAATAATAGTCATATTATATACAGTCAGGTCCCCATACTGTTAGATTCCAAACTGTTATGTCCTCAGTAGTGTTATGTTTTTTCATAACCTCCAAATTCAGAAGTGTTAGGTGACGTCACGTTACGTCACCAATTTTCAGGACCGTATTCTTAAGCCCAAAGAAAAGGGGGCATATACTTCTAGGCCAAACTTGAGGTGTATATATTTACGTTCCTGAAAGGTGCGCAGTAGACATACTTTGAGCACATAACAGAGCTGAGTCAGGAGGAGTGGGAAATTTCTGGAAATGTAATAGTATGGGGACCCGACTGTAGTATATAATTATAATCATTGCCTTGTATCTTTAAATAAATTAGTTAAGATAGGTAATTAATTACTTATAATCAATTAGGTATAAGATTCTGTCACTTTTAATTGTAATACAAACAGATTCAATTATTATATTATAAGTTATTGTTAAATACAGAATGTTTCGAATGTATGATATATTATGTATAGTATGTACAGTGTATAGCTAGAGTTGCATAGTGTGTATAGTAGAGTGGGGATGCTGGATGCATCTCGCGGAGGCGGTGCATAGACTTTTAAGCATGCGCAGGAACGTCTTCCATGGACTTAGAGCGGAGCTCTCAGGGTTCTCGACTTCCGCTTGGTAAGCGGTATCGGTTAGACGCGTTACTTTTGCTCGTTAAAGTTTTTACCGTTTCTCCGGTCTTCGGTGCTTATTTATTGATCTCAGTTCCCGTCGTGGGTCCTGTTATTCAAGCCTAAAGTATTGTGTACTGCCTGCTTCACAGGCACTGTGATTTTTATAAGTGTGTTGTTTATAGGTTAACGCCAGCCACCGGGCTGTGCGTGTGTGATCGAGGCATGGCCTCTGTCGATGCGGAAATGGATGTCGGCGACCACGGTGGTGGGTCGGAGGTAGAGAAAGCAGTTGAAGGTTTGCTTTTTATGCAACAAAATTCTAAAATTAGATCGCGCCAGAATTCGACATCGTCCCTTGATTCAGATCCAGCAGCGAACAAAGTCCCGCCCTCAACTCGGTCGAAAATTTCGCTTGACCCCAAAAATAGCAACCAGAAGCCTGCAAAGTACGGAAATTTTGATAAAGGAAATTGTCCAGTTTTTATCCAGCGTGATCCGAGTTCAACGGATGCAAACAAAGATCTCAACCACATTTCTATCGGCAAGACACTGCACGCGCTTTACCCCGGTAAAGTCGTCAGTATCCACCCAAGCGGTCGTGGTAAGGTGCGTGTTGTAATGAACAGTGGTAGGGCCGCTAATCAAATCGTCTCGGACCCCACTTTAAAATCAAAAGGTTTAGTTGCGTTAATTCCGAATAGCTTTGTCACATGTCAGGGTATTATAAATAATATCGGTCTGGACATCTCTAACGAGGAAATTTTGGAGAATGCCGAAGTTTTAGGTCAAATCGGGAAAGATTGCAAAATAATCAATGTTATGCGTTTCAACAGGAAAGTCGTTAATGAGGCCAAAGTTGTCTCACATGAACCATCTACCACCGTGCTTCTTACCTTCCAAGGTACAACTCTCCCGGAACGCGTTGCAATCTTCAAAGGCTCTAGTCCGGTCCGTCCTTACGTACCCGATCCCCGCATGTGTTTGAAATGTTTCCGTTTTGGACACATAGCAAAAAATTGTCGATCCAAAGCTAGATGCCAACAATGCGGTAGCACAACCCCACACGACGATTCAAACAAATGTCCCCAAACTTCGGATTCCCCAACTTGCCTGCATTGCAAAGGTCCACACAGGACATCTTCAAAACTCTGCCCAAAGTTCGTCGAACAGAAGGAAATTCGCTATTACGCGACAATGCACAGATTGTCCTTCAGTGAAGCACGACAATTCCTCAGTCTAAAAACAACCTCGAACCTCTCGAGTTCTTTTAACTTTTCTGAGTTTCCAGATCTGGGAGATTGTCCAACGCCGTCATCAGTTCAGCCTACAAAAACGCAATCCCAGTCTCGTTCATACTCACAAACAGCTCAACAACAAAACTTTACTCATCCATCCTCCACAAACAAAACTCACAAACACAAAAACATGACAAAACCTTTAAGAAGCTCCGCTTCTTCATTCTTTGCCTCCAATTGGGACAATGGAAGATCGAAATCATGCTTCCAAACGGTTTTGCTCTCTCAAACTTCACACAAGCATCTCTACCTCTACCACCTTCTACATCTTCTAACCACTCCTCTTTACCAAACCTAGATTCCTACTCACTCTCCTCTATCATCTCCTGGTTGAACAACCAGGTGTCACTTTTCTCTCCCAATTCTTCTCCTGATGATGCTAAACAAAGACATTTTCTTCTCACCAACATCAAAGATAACCTCCGCCTTTTACTCGTTCCTTCAACGGACAAACATGGCCAATCTCCCTAAATTAAACATACTGCAATGGAATTGTCGTGGTGTCTCTAACAAGACACACGAAATTCACAAAATTTCAGACAAGTTCGACATTCTCCTTCTCTGCGAAACTTTCCTGAAACCAGATAAACGCGATAACCTTAATATTCTTAAAAATTTTAATATTATTAGACTTGATAGATTAGTAAATAAAGGTGGTGGCCTGGTCATCGCCATTCGTAAAAACTTAACTTTTTCAAGAATCAACACAATCTATACCCGAGAAGACGATTTGGAGACACTAGCTGTCTCTATTGACTCATCGTTGGGTAAGCTTTTGTTGATCTCAGATTATAGAGTACCGGGTAAACAAACTTCCATTAATGTTTGGAAATCTTTTTTCGATTCTATTAAAAATTTCGGTTTCAGGTCTGTCTTCATAGGAAGTGACTTTAATAGTCATAATACCTTTTGGGGAAGCTCCCAGACCTGCATAAACGGGCAAAATTTATGTGACCAATTGGATACCTCTGATTTTATTCTTTTAAACAACGGCTCCCCTACTTACTTAGGTCGCCCACCGAGCCCTGGTTCAGCATTGGATTTGTCACTTGTTACCTCAAACCTTTACACTCTCTCTTCATGGTCCATACACAATGACACACTGGGCAGTGATCACTTCCCAATATTCTCATCTCTAGGCATCTCTATACCCATTTCCACTTTTTCTTCTCACAAATATAACCTCAAATCAATCAATTGGACACTTTTTTCTGAAAAAAATCCGTTTATCTGTAGAATCCAATTCAAACCTTTTAAACACCACAGATCCCATCGCAGACTATAACCTATTCACAGACATCGTGGACAGCTCAGTCAAATTTGCCTGTCCTCAACACAAACCTTCACACCACACACTAGGTAACAGGCCACATTCTAAAAAACCTTTCATTCCAGCACCTTGGTGGAATGGTAAATGCGATGAGGCTATTAATAATCGTAAATTAGCTTTGTCAAATTATAAAAAATCTTCTAATTACCAAAATTTTCTTGAATATAAAAAATCTGAAGCGATAGTCAAACGCACTGTTAATGAAGCTAAAAGAGAATCTTTTAAAACATTTTGCAATTCTTTAGATAGACATACTCCTATTTCAAGAGTATGGTCGGTTGTTAAAAGCTTTAAACATCGTTTTACCCATCCACCAACAGCTTCATGTTCGGCAGACAAGGAAATGATAGACAAGCTCCATTCTCTGGTAGATGAGCTTTACCCACCTACAGTTTTTTATGATAATTTTCCTAATAATTTCATACATAATCCTTTTTTGGAAGCGTCTTTTTCTCTGGAAGAACTCAAAATTGCAATTAATTCATGTAAAGTAAAATCATCTCCAGGTCTAGATAAAATAGATTATTTTAGGCTTCTTGCCTATTTAAAGTAACTGAGAAACTTATTTACAATAGACTACTGTGGTATGTCGAACGCAATAGGATTCTTAGCCCCTTCCAATTTGGGTTTAGGAGGGGAAGATCATGTGCGGATAACCTTGCTTTGGTTTCGACAGAAATATGGACTGGTCTAGCCGAGCGTGAATTCACTGGTGCTCTGTTTCTTGATCTTAAGGGTGCATTCCCGAGTGTGATCCCGAATGTGCTGGTTGAGGACCTACGTTTAATAGGGATTCCTGAACCCATATCTCGATTTATTTATAACTCAGTTAACTGCAAAAATATGTTTATTAAAATTGATGGTGAAACAATAGGTCCTAGAACTAGCACTGTCGGTCTACCTCAGGGTAGCATCCTTAGTCCAATCAACTACTCTATCTACACTAGAAATCTACATAAATGCATTCCGGCAAATTGCATAATTTATGAATTCGCAGACGATGTAACGGTCACCTGCCGTTCATCTAGTCTAAACCAAATAATAACTTCCCTCCAAAACAGTTTAAACGCACTGTCTGATTATCTTAAAGACAGAGGTCTAGAGGTCTGTCCGGAAAAGACGAAGTTAGTTATATTTAGCAATAAGAAGATTAACTTAGAAGACCCATCACTTTCTTTAAATTTAAATAATGTTATTATCAAACCATCCCCTTCCGCAATTTACCTAGTTATTAACTTCCACCAATCCGGTTCATCCGATACCCACTTCAACTATTTATGTGACAAAAGCAGAAAAATTCTTAATGTTTTAAGGGTTCTTAGAGGCACATGGTGGGGTGCCGATCCCAAATTATTGCTTCACATTTTTGATTCCTTAATTGTAAGTGGCGTTAACTATGGTTCCATCTCCTCTAATTTTAAATCCCATAAAAATTTCTCCCGCCTTGAAAAAATCAGAAATCAAGCTCTTCGACTAGCCGTAGGCTACAGGAATAGCACCCCGATCAATGTAATGTTAGCAGAATGTTGTATACCCCCCTTAAGAATGAAATTTAACTTTCTCGCAAAGAAATACCTTTATAGAATTTTTTCAAATCCCAGCCACCCTTTACCGGTCGGACTTACAGTTCTTTCGCGACTCCTCCGCGACTCTAATACTCTTTTTAATTATCCTCTTCTAATTGCTTTCGAAAGATCGAAGAATTACAGCGAACTCATTAGAAGTAAGAATCTAGATCCTTACTTCGAATTCCTCTATGAGGATCATATATTCACTCCCCAAATCTTCTTTGACTTGGGCAAATCACTACAAAATTCTCTTAATCCAGCAATTTTATTCAGGGACCTAACCAATCGCAACTTTCCTAATCATGTTTTCTTTTTTACTGATGGCTCAAAGTCGGACAAAGACCTTTTAGCGGGTTGCGCCTTTGTTTGCCCTACTTTAAATATCGTATCAAAATTTAAAATTTCTAAGTTCGCTTCAATATTTTCCCTCGAAGCGTTTACAATCTTATTTACTCTCGATTTTATAATTAATTCCAATCTTAATAATACAGTCTTATTTTCAGACTCACTTAGCGTACTTAAAAACATAAACTCCAAAAGTATCTATAAAGTTAAATCTTATATAATATTTGCGATTAGAAACCGCCTAAAGGTCCTGTCTGATTTAGGTCGTCCAGCGAAACTGGTCTGGGTTCCTGGTCATTCAGGGATAGAGGGAAACGAAGCGGCTGATAAAGCAGCAAAAGAAGCATCCACAAATCCTACTCCACTAGATATTCAGCTTCCTTTTTCGGATTTCCATAGTGTTGCTCGCAAGCAACTTGATGCTAGTTTTAATTCTTATTTAACAGACGTAGGTAAAAATAAGGGTGCCCATTACACTCAACTTTTCTATAAACCCAGAAGAAAACCGTGGTTTGCTGATTTTGTCGCCCGCAGATCCTGGATAGTTTTATTATGTCGCGCGCGTTCCAATCACTATAATTTAGCTGCTGATGCGCAAGGGGTCTTTGGACCCTTTGGCGCATACGCGGGAGCAAGGGCGGCCTGCGCGCCCCACACTTTTACTCTGTTCGCAGCAAGAAGACTATATACAGGAGGAACATCTCGAGTATTTCCGATGGTCCCGATTTTAACGGACGATTGGGCGTACTACCCCGAGGCGCACTAGTCTTCTGCACATCTCAACACATGCATAACTGTGTATATTTTATATATATTCCATCTGACAGCTGTAACAGCTGCAAGTTTTTATTATCCCCTCATATTGAATAATAAGTGTAAATATTAAGTGAACTTAATATTTTTAATACAGAAATTTCTAAAAAAAAGTGAGAAGTGTATTTAACACTAGTGTTTTTAATTATGATTCGTATTGATGAAGAGTGTTAATTTAAATAATAAAAGTTGTAATGGGATTTTCATAACCATTTTTTATCTCACAATAAAAACAAGTTGTAAATCCAGATGTTCATTACATGAACATTTTGCTTCCTCTTTACGATCAGCAAAAAAAATTTGCTTCCTCGTGGAGGAAGCATTAACAATAAGAATATTTAATTTTTAAATAACTTTTAATACAATTTAACATTTATAAAATAAAGTGCATTCGTCTTAATAGAAAGAATAAAATTTTCTTAAACAGTAATATGAATCTAAATAAATAAAAAAAATTTTAGTAAAAAAGTGAATTTTTCAAATTTGATTGTAATTAATTCTATATTTTTCAATAGATTATATACTTTATATACATCAATCGATTCGTCTTGATGCAAAGAATAAGATTTTTGATTTATTTTTCAATAAATAATAACATTTTATTGTACAGCAACATGATTTTAAGAAAAAATGAATTTCTATTAAAAGTGCAAATTTTTTGTCTATAATTGGTTTTAATTCTATAAATTTAAATACAATATATACTTTATATATACCAATCGATCCGTCTTGGTGCAAAGAATAAGATTTTAGAAATAAATGAGTAAGATTTTCTTATACGGCAACATAATTTTGCGGAAAGCACTCATTTTTTGATAAAAACGCGAATTTTTCAGCTTTAATTGTGATTAACTCTGCAAATTCTCATATAATTTATACTTTTTATATACCAATCGATTCGTCTTGATGCAAAGAATAAGATTTTATTATTTATTAACTTCAATAACCAACTTAAAAAAAATTTTTTGAAAAAAAATTTTTTTTAGAAAAAAGTCAAAAAAAATTTTATTTTGAGAATTTTTTAAAGTCTATCAATCCATTTCGAGATATTTTTAGGATAAACATACCTGGTAAATTTTAGCCAAATTCGTTAAAACCTCTTTGAGTTATCGTGTTCACAAAAATCGGGATCCACACACACACACACACATACACACACACATACACACACACACACATACATACATCCGGACAATTGTTCAGGGTCTTATCAAGAAGACTATATACAGGAGAACCAACTCG